CATATATATATATATATATATATATATATATATATATATATATATATATATATATATATGTGTGTGTGTGTGTGTGTATATATATGTATGTATATACTGCTACATTATACATGTACATTAACAAATATATATATATGTGTATGTATGTACGTATGTATGTATATACTGCTACATTATACATATACATTAACAACTTCATGTTTTATCGATATATAAAATAAATATTAGAATGTAAAATTTGCTAAATTATAGAAACATTTATCTCCGCAGTTAGGGATGGATGAAATTCGGTTCGATCTGAGGACATGTTTCGAATTATATACTCTCAATGTAATAACCACATTACGAGTTGTAAGCTTTAAAATATGTCTCAAAGCTAAGTTCAATGTTATAGAGAAAAGATTCACCACTTCAGGATTCGCAAAATGTAAAACAATTCAAGAAAATCTCATAAAAAAGGTGGACAATAGATAGCGATTGACATTGTATTTACATTTTTGCAGATTAAAGTTGACTGGAAAGCATGGTGCCGGAAGGGAGTTCCACAAGCGAGAAGTGTGAGAGAAGAAACTATTAGCATAGAATTTACGGCTACCTTCAGCCATCTCAACTATAAATTGATCAGATCTCGACGGCAGTCTAGTGCTGCGCTTAAATGCAAAAACTCTAGGCAACATAGCGAACAGCGATATTTACAAAATGGGACACAAGGCTAAAATGGGGAATGGGGAAAAGGGCGGTCTTCATCTGTCTTAATTTTAAACTTAGCTAGCCACAAACGCTGACCCAAACACACCATAATAATCCAAAACAACGCATTCTTACTTACCATTTTTACTACATACAACATAATAACTCATTGTCTCAATGAAAATCCTAACTAGTCCCCATATGTGCAATTCATTGTCTGTGGTGGGGAGGAGAATAAAACAACAATTTTAAAACTAGCCCCAATGAATATTTACAATATGAAAACAGAACTATTTATAAGAAACCAAATAAAATAATGTTAATAATAAAACTCCCAGAATCCTTAAATGTGGCAGAAACATCAGTTCACTAGACAAAATCAATGCAGGACTTTAATAATATAAAACATTCATTCATTCTATACACTCACTGAAACACACACTTGTTCAAACACAACAACAAAGACGAAAATCACATCCGAAACGAACTTGTCGATAAAGTCCCGAAATGGTTTCACGTCCCAGTTTTAGTGCCCAAATATACGATCTATGTTGGAGTCAAGGACGGAATTCCAATTCCCCGCTAAATCGACACGACGAGATGTCGTCAAAAACGGCTCGATCTGCCGAAACAAAGCTATAGAATAGACATTGGGCGCATAAACCCCAATGAGATGAAGAGCCTTATCCTTTATGGTAACATCCAGCACAGAAAGTCTGCCCGCCGGGTCTGCGAAGACAATAGCACACGTAGCCTTCAAAGATTTGGTCACCAGCCAAGACATATCTCTCGAGCGTCCATCAAAACATGCCGAATAGAGAAAAACCCCTAGAAAATGCCTTCATAATCGCGAGAGAAAAACGGGTCCCTTGCACAGAACGAGAAGAAGATCACGCGAGAATGTCGCCCTGCGACACTCCGACCTCAGGCCTCGATCATTCACACTTGCTAACCAGAGAGCCATAATGAAACCGATTAGGGTTTCCCTCCTGCATTGAACATGGCCGGGATAAGGACACCGACGACTTGTCCCATTGATTATCCTTGCGTAAGTGAATGTAACGTATCCGAGTGAAATCGTAATTTGACTTTCCGATTTCTAATTTTATGGTATCAAAATATTGATGACAGAATTATATTGGAAATTAATTTTACAATTTTTTTTTTAAAATAACCTTTCGGAAATATAATATGCCAATTCGAAATTGTTTGGACCACAACCATATTTTTAATCTCTAACCTGAATTTGTATGTATATTTAAAATTTGCGAAAAAAAAAATATAAAAATACTGAATGTAGTTGAAATGATCACAGCCTAATAATTTAAAATTTAATTAAGATATATTGAAAAGGAAAATATCTCGAGAAAAATATATAAATATCATTTTGCATTTTATTGAAACGATTTTCATTTTGACAATATATCTTGCAAGCTGGAAACTATGCTCTCAGAGATGTCTGTTTGCCTTTTCTATCAGTGGATCAGTTAATGATTTGATGAAATATTCTGTGCAAGTTTCAAATTCTCTTTATATGGCGCATAAATTGTCATTGAAGAAGCCAAGTGTTGGATTATAGATTAAATATTTGCTATTTAGAAAATATTAACTTTTTAGTGGGGATCCGATGAGTGTCTTGAACAAATTCTTAACTTAGGATAAAAATTAATACTTACCTCAATATTTATGTTTGTTGATGTTTAATTACTCCTTTCAAGATGTGTTGCTATCCACTACTTTAAATCCCATTTTTCCTGATTTTGGTTTTCCTTGAGTGGCGAGCAAGTTTTCTAGATTGTGTTATTTTAGAAGGCCCGCTTCTGTATTTTTTTTATATTAACTACTTGTAAGCATTAGACTTCCTTTTAAAATAAATTGGGCTACAAATGAGATAAAAGCCAAGATAAAAATAATTAATGCTGGAGTTTCAGATTTAACTACATTCGCTTTATATTTCCCAAACTGGCAATCCGAGTTGAGTGAAACAGGAAATCACGTTAAAGTGCAACGAGTTGTTTGTCCTTCGTAAAACAAATGATTGGCATAAGGGCTATTTCCTAGAATTTATTTTAAATATATATTTTTTACTTTGTTTATTTCATAAAACACTTGGCAACTTCGATTATTTCTACAATAATTCTTTACAAGAAAAAATGTCAAAGACATCAGAGAAATTTTCAATTTTTTATGTCACTCAATGCAAAATTCCTGGCTCTTCAGAACGTTTTGGGATCAGTACCTAAGGAGGATAAAAAGCGACAAAAGTAAATAAAAACAAGCACATTATATTCTACGTTTACAATTTTTATTAATTTTTATATTAAGTGGTTTATGGAGAAAGGAATCAAATAAATTGTGACTATCTAAATTTAGATCAAGGCAGCAATTATAAATTATTCAATTATATGGCTAATTCGCTAGACTGATACAAGGACACAGAAGTGAAATCATAGCTACATTACTATATATATATATATATATATATATATATATATATATATATTTGGTTAGGTCTATCTCTGATATTGAGCGCTTTCTAATAAGTACCGCGCATATAATATATAGATAATAATATATATATTACATATATATTAGATATTATATATATATTAGATATTATATATATATATATATATATATATATATATATATATATGTGTGTGTGTGTGTGTGTGTGTGTGTGTGTGTGTGTGTGTGTGTAAGAAAGAAATTGCAAACGTTTTGGGTTATAATGTGGATTTTTTTATAGATATATATTATATTTTATTTTCATTATTTTTTATACACAACTTTCCTGTCTGGCAACATTCTTCAGGCAATTAATGACTCTTTCCACATATTATTAAAAGGAATAAATTTTCTTTGTCGATGTCTAACTATTGTCTGTTTTGCGTAATAGTAATCCTCATGTCTTTCTTGGGCTGATGGTAAATGTGATTTTCTGTTTAACGGGTAATTTTCTATATATATTATATATGGGCAGTATTTATTGGAAAGCGCTCAATATCAGTGATAGAGCTAACATTCATTTGCATGGATATGAGTTTGTGATCATGGATATCATGCTTTTTGATCATCATCATATATATATATATATGTGTGTGTGTGTGTGCGTGTGTGCGTGCGCGCGTGTGTGCGTGTGTTGAAAACTCAGACTGTCAAAGTAAACAGACGTGTTTTTATTGCTCCATGAAAACAATGAAATTAACAAGAAAATAGGAAATTATAATTATTTATTTTTATTATTATTTATTCAATTTTTGTCTTTGTTATTTATTATTCATTGTTTTTGCTGTGTTGTCCTCCATCTTAAAAGACTATGTTAGATTCTTCCGCCTACTAGAAGGTTAATTGGAGAGAAGGCTTCGAGGAACAGTCAATAGATTGAGCAAGTGAATAGACTGAGAATTCAGTAGCGAACGCGTTGGAATCTCTTTTGATTTCGATCTTTGTGGGAAGCTTTTTTATCGTGAGTGTTTAATTTTGTTGCGTTTGTCACTTTTGTTTTTGGACGTACATTATTTTTTTACTTTGTGAATTTGTATACTCCGCTTTCGTTGGAAATCTTTTTGTGATTTTCCGCTGTGGTGAGACTAGCACCAAAATGGCTGAGTCTCCCCAGCAAAATGTACCAGTGCCTGCTCAGCCATCAACATCCGCATGGGGAGCAGATAGGCACGAGAAAAAAGGCCCAGCATACTACATTGGCCTATAAGAAAAATATAAAGATTTTATCTCGGGCAATGAACTCGGGTGCCATGTATATCACTGAGGACCATTTAGGAGCCATCTTTTCATCTTTTGGACCATTGGAGGGGGTAATCAGTATCAAAGGCAAGTCGCGCATTGCCACTAGTGATTTTAAAGTCCTGGTGACTTTGACCCGACCCAAATTCAACGAGGTACCAAAGAAGTATGTCCCTGGAAATGTTAATCAGAAGCAGCAACAAGAGGAACCAAAGCAGCAGCGACAGAAACAAAAGCCGCAGGAACAACAAAAGCAGTCGCGAAAATTACAACCCCTAAGAGATCAACAACAAAAGCAGCAGCAGCCTGAAAGCAAAGAGCAGGAAGTCCAGCAAAATCAACAAGCCGAGCAGGTGGAGGTAGGACTTATTTATGGAGACAGTGGAAATGCCCCCACCTCGTCCTCGCCGCTGAAAAGAAGGAGGAATGAGGAAGAGGAAGAGGATCTGGATCTCAAAGATTTAATAAGGAAAAGAAAGCTGGTCAGAGTAGGGCGGAGAAATCTGGTGAAAATAACAAGGAAATATCTGCCTCTACTTCGCCAACAAAAACAGTTGATCTTGATGTTACAGTTAAGGCAAGGAGCCTCTCTGCTTCGCCGTCTAAGGCTCCGACTTCTTATCCCTCTCGCAACCCCTACGCCAACGAATCCCCCCCCCCAAAAAAAAAAATTCCCCAGTGGGGAGAAGATTTGTGCTATCGACAGGCAGGCCTTTGAGAGAGACTTGTCCGCTCAAAGAAAATCAATATTGAGGCCCTTTTTCAAGTATAGCTCTGTCAATTGGAAATCGATCGAAGATCTGAGGAACTTTCCTCAAGCCCCCGGGGTTATTACCCTAATCCGCAACACGGGGGGAAATTTAAGAGTTTGGGTCCTTTGGTGTAGAAGTGGCCGCTATCCAGGAGACACACTTTGTTTGCCACGTCGATGCCAGTGTGCTGTCTAACGACTTTGTCGTCTATTCAGCATACGGGGACCGGTAGGCCAGAGGTGTTTCCTTGTTAGTCACCCGTTCCCTTGATGCGGGAGCGGGGCGGTTGGTCGTGGCCGATATTGCCGTGAGCAGTGGTTTGTTTCGGGTCGTTGTAGTTTATGCGCCCAACAAGCAAGAGGAGCGTGTCGACTTTTCCCGTCGGTTAGGGCAGTTCCTGGGTGATTCTTCGCGCTTATTCTTAATGGGGGACTGGAATGCCGTCCTAAACCCAAAGATAGAGAGTGGGTAGGTGCTAGCGGGAAGGCCTCGGGTGATCGTAGTTGATCTGATCGGCGAGTTCGGGCTCGTCCATAGATACCGGGTCGATCATCCGAGGGTGGAGTGAGATGTGGACGTGGAGCATTAGTTGGCCCTCTCTTCGGGTAACCTGCTACCTGGACAGAATGTTAGGGAGAAGGGTCGACCTAGATTGCCCAACGTTCCACCGTAAGACTATTCGAATCATAGACTTGTCTGTGCCCGGATGGTGTTAGGTGCTAGGCCTAGAATGACTGCACACTGGAAGTTCAACGTGTCCTTACGGGACGGGCGGGACTTTCTGTAACAGATAACCAGATTATTGCAGCGGGAATTAGTGGGGGCAGTTATGGGGAGTAGGTGGTGGGAGAGGCGTATAGGATTAGGTCCCTCATCACTGAATATAGACAACAACTCGCTCTAGGTAAGGCTAAAAAGGTGAAGGCTGGTGTTTTTGACGTTGCTAGCAAGAATGGAGGTGTGGACGACGCTAAAAGAGGAAATCATGCGGGATGAACGTTATTCGCATCAGAATCTGGTTGTTTTCTTTAAGCATCAAATCGGAACGAAAGTGTTTGATTTCAACAGATTTCGGCGAAAGGTGGGTGACTGAGGTGAGCCTGTTCGTGAGGATGGGGCTAGCCTTGATTTTCTCTTTTAAGACCCCTTAAGTGCAATGGGGCGGTTTCCTGTGAACCCTCCCCTGGTTAAGTTAGACACTATTTTGTTTTCCTACTTAATATGAATGTGTTGTTCCCGGCCTGTTCCCGACTCTCTCTTTTGTTATGAAACCAAGTCGAGCTTCCCAATCTTCAAAGTTTGTTTTTGTTTCCTTTCTCATCTCGGCTGAGTCAGCCTTTGATTTTTCCATTCCATAACTTATTTTTACCCTCCCTATTTCATTAGTGAGTGTGCTGCTTGATTCTGTCTAGCGGCAGAATACAGCGGCCTATCTTATTATTTTGAGGAGTGGACGGGTCCCGGCTAACATTTGTTTTTGTGTTACATTTTAGTTTTATTCGGGTTTATTTTCCCTCCCCATCATTATATGAATCATTGAATTTTTATATATTTTTGTAAAAAAAGGGAAATTTTAAACTATCATCAGATTTTTATCTCATGGGGTGGTTTATGTAGGCTCCCCGGTATATATATTTGGTGTATGCAGGATCGAGAGGTGATGGATAAGTTCTTTTGGTGAATGAGCAAATTGTAATGAATGAATGCGTCGCGAATCTGATTGACTAGGATAGTTAATGAAGACAAGATCCCCTTCCGACCCGGCCTTTTGCCACAATTCTGTATGTTACAGAATACATATCAGTGAATAGATTGAGCCTTAGTTCATTCGATAAACTGTCAGTAGTCATGCAATACTCTTCTGGTGTACTTACTGTTTAATATATGATATATCTGCAATTTACTTGGTCACAATAGTTTTATATTAGTTTATTTATTTATTATGCTGGATGTTTGAAACAAAGGGTTCAGTTCGACATTCCAACCACCTGAAGAAAGCCGGAGCGTACAACGACCAAAACGTTGTGATAAATATAGCAACAAAGATTAGGACAATAGTCCGAATAATGTAAATAGTGTTCATAATACCTCATAGAAATATAGACAGATAATGAATTAGGCAGTTTGTGATTAGATTTCAAAGTATAAAACTTCTACTATTTTCAATGATACTATATAAATCGAAACCGCTGAGAGATGGTATAAGCACCAACCAGACACAGTTACCCAAAATAACAATGGAAGTATCATCTGAGATATGCCAATTCAACCTGACAGGGAAATAAAAGCCAACCGATCTGATACAGATCTGATATTATAAAAAAAAAAAAAAAACAATAAATCCAGGACGTGTATGCTTATTGACATATCATTACCATCTGAGAGAAACACCTCCATGAAAATTATCGACAAATTGTCCAAATACAAGGACTTGGCGATCGAGATTAACAGAATGTGGGGAGTGAAGAGTGAGACTGTACCAGTAGTAAGCGTAGCTCTGTACCTCGTGAGAAAAGCAATGGACAGTTTTACTAATAGTGTCCTAGGTAACATCAACATACAAGTTGCCCAGAAGATGGCCCTACTACGAACATCCCATATACTAAGAAATGTGGTATCAATTGAATAACAATTCTCCTATAGGGCCCAAGGACCATAGTTTGGACCCAGCTCTACCGGATAAAAAGCATGGGCCATAGCATACACAAATACTACTACTACTAATAATAATAATAACAACAATAATAACATCAGTTGAGTTAGAAAAATATAAAACTATCAATGATATCATGCCTAAATTTGGTATAGATGACTATAATTTTATTTTTTAATGAATATCTAATTGTATGTGGTTGTTCATAAAATAATGTCTGATTTTAAAATCAAAATTTATTCTTGAATGAATGAATTTAAATAGTGGTTAAACCAATCAAAATAGGAACACTGAACATCTGTATATTTCCGCCATCGATTTACAAGTTTATCCTTTTCGATAAAACTCTTAAGTAGATGAGAGTGAATGAAGAGAATGTAAAAATGAAGGCAAAGTATGGGGTGGTAGACCATCAGTGCCTGAGACTGTTCCATTCCCGACTTGGCCTTCTGAGGCATGTCGGGTTCAAACATCCTGGAGGCACCGGATGAACCAAACTCGGACATGAGTGATACTGACAACGAAACATTACATGCTATTACAATCAGCGTACGAAATTTAGTCATGCATAGCAACAACTGGTAAAACATCTTTGGCGTGCTGATTATTTTTTGAGTAGGAATTCGGAATTAACCTACTTGCTTTAGTCGAAAACACACGCGATTTCATGTCAAATGTAAGACGATTGAATAGTTAAGATAGGGTAGTATGTCATTGATCACTGATATAAATTATTAAAAAGATCGGTGTATTTTGTTGTCTACTTTACTCGGATTTTTTATGGATGTTTTAAAGGCGGCAAAGTGATTTATTTCTTTTATAAATCCTTCTTGATACCATCTTATCGGCGAGATAAAATCCTCAACTTATCCACATTTAATCTATATTATTTATCATTATTCATGTGTGTTTTTTATTTCCGGGCATGTAGCCGGCGTTCTCTTTTGTTATAGTCTTTGTCAAAATTTCCAATACACCATTTTTTTTTATCCTCGCTCTTCATCTTGATTGGACTAGTCTTATTTATTTCCCCATTTCGAAATTGATTTGTCCCTCCCCGTTACTAGTGAATGACCTTTCTGCTTCTGCCTATAGACAGAATACGCCGATCTTATTTTCGTGGGTTGGACGGGGCCATACAAACATAGTTTTACTTTTCTTTGAATCTTTTGGTTTCTTTTATGTGATTATTGAGTTCAACCCTCCCTCTTCATTCTATGTGTAAATATTTTTATATTCTTGTAATTCAATTTTAGAAAAAAAAAGAGGAAAAGTATTTGTAAATATTAAGACATTCTTATATCATGTTTAATTTTTTGGACTCTCTGAGAATATGTGGTATTGTGGTACATATTGGAGTGGATGGAGTAGGATGGTTTCTCGCGGTTATTGAGGAAATTGTAAGATGACGCGCATCGGATTGGCTAGCTGTAGGATACAAAGTTTTCAAATGCCTTTTCCCACTCCCATTTCGACCCTGCGCCAAAAATTAATGTATGTACATTAATCAAATAGCCATTTCACTATTTGTTTGGAACCAACTGCGCAGTTACGAATAAATAGAATTTGTTTTGCGTAAATGTGAAAAAAAAGTGCCATTTCTAGGAATTTTATTTAATCTGGAAACTTCAAATTAGAGACTGAAATATTTAATAAATTAAGGAATTGCAAATTTCAGCAAAATTGCGTGCGAGTTTTGAGCCTGTTTCACGGGAATCGGGCCAATCGTGATTCCCTTTTCTATTCTCCTAAAGACGCAACGCGATGGATTCCTGTCGGACCACACCCTTGTTTAAGCTAGTCTCCTTTGATTCCCCAGCTTAATGTGAATGACTTCAGTTCCCGGCCTGATTCAGGCGTTCTCTTTTGTTATAGTCCTTGTCAATATTCTAATTCTCACCATTTTTTCTCCGTTTTTTTTTCTTAACTGGACCAGCCTTATATATTTCCCCATTCCCAAATTGGTTTCTCCCTTCCAGCACCAATAGCGAACGAGCTTCTTGATTTTGTTTGTCGGTAGACTATTTTTTGTTAAATGTTTTGTTTTTGTATATTTTGATTATTGGGTTCATTTATCCTTCACCTCCATCACCAGATTAAAATATTACAAATTTATATATACATACATTATATATATATATATATATATATATATATATATATATATATATATATGTGTATATATATATATATATATATATATATATATACAGAGAGTGGGCTATGATAAAAACAGTCGTCAAAAATGTCTCCAATAGTATGGAAATGTCGCCATATGCAGTGAGAAGGACTCTGTGACGTCACCCTGGGTCTCTGTCTTGTCCTATCCTGTCCTGTGCTGGTCGCGGCGTCAATTGTGAT